CCGCGGAGGGGGGACCGATCGGCACCCCATACACGCGATCCGCCGACTCTAAAGCCAGCGGATCGCTTGTATGGTAACAGGCATCGCTGCCTGTTTTTAAAAAACGGCCATTTCCCGCTGAAATTTCACCACATTTACTAAGCTAAGGGAAAACTTCCACTGCAAAGTGCAAATTCCCTTGAAAAGTAAGGAGCCTATTTGACTTAGTAAATCAACTCCACAGACTACACAATGCCCTATGTCATGGGCACATTCAAGTGTATATTTGGGTAATATCCATGACTGAATATAAATAGGCTCTGCAAGAGAATGATATTGCATTTCACAAATGGTCCAAAGCCTGTATATGATATGTTATTTATTACATGCATTAGTCAGATCAAGGCACGGTTCCTCACCCTAGTCCAGTGCTGGCGAACCTTTGGCACATGTGCCGCAGAGGGCATGCACAGGCTCCTCTGGTGGCACGTGAGCCTAGGCAGGGGCTTCCTGCATTTCATGAAAACAGGGCTAAATGTAGAGCAGGGAAGCTACTGCTCGTTTAGTACAAATGATCTCTGCAATGCCGCCGAGATCCCTTGTATGCAGCCTGCAGGCCTGTCCCCCTCCTCCATGGTCTGCCCCCCCCCCCCCCCACAGAGAACGTCCGTTCTCCGGTCTGCTCTGTGTGAACCTCCCCACCTCAGCTGTCACAGTGCTGTGCTCAAACTCCTTCAATAAAGAGAACCTGTCATCTCCAAATGCTATCACAAAGGGGCTTGTTATTCCCTTTCTGGCACAATAAATTTAAGTGAAAAGAATTTAAATAAAACAATTAAAAAAATAAAAAGTGATAAAAAAGTAAAAATAATACAAAAGTGATGTAACACATATCACTTCTGCATTCACAGCCCGGAGGGAGACAGCAAGGAGCTGATCTCCCGTCCTCCTCCTCCTGACGCCCTCCGAGCCGGTCCTGGGCCGCAGATTGGGCAGCGGATCCCGGGATTGCAGGTGAGGGGTCAGGGGGGGGGGCGAAAAAACGAGCACATATAGACGATAGGCAGGCTATGGAGCCGCCGATCGTCTATATGTGAAACACCCGGTAATGGGTGTTTGCATTGGTCGGGTCTTTTCTGCCCGTGCGTGCCCGCTAAGGGGCGCGCGCGAGCAGAAAAAAAATGCCGTCTGGAGACGGCAACCCGCCAATGCAGCAGTGCCGTCCGTCCGTTTTTTTACAACGGGCGGACGGCAAGTGGTTAAAAAATAAAACAAAAAAATTAAAAAAGTGGTAAAAAAAAGTAAAAAATAATAAATAATGAATCAAATGTTTAAATGTTTGAATATGAGTTTTTCCCTATTTTGCCTAAGGCAGTGATGCTGATAATTTTTTAAACCCCAGTGCCCAAAATAAAACACAATACCAAAGTTATTTTCAGTGTTGGCACTTTGAGATAAATACATTGATTTTGTGTTGCAGTTTGCGCACCCGGGCTCAAAAACGTTAGCCATCACCGCCCTAATCTTTCTGTCGGTGGTGGTGAATCCAATTATGTGGGGTATCAATACAACTTGGTGTGGTTTTCCATTAGAGGAATACATCAACCACAGCAACATTTCAGGTGTTTTGGAGATTTTTTGTTCACTCAGATCATCTTTATGAAACAAGTGGTTCCTTGTTTTTTAAGTCCTATCCCATTGTAGGGCTGAATTTGGCCTGCAACTACTCAATATGCACACGTATTTTTAGAAACACTCAAGCTTCCTCATGAAGTAGATTGTCTGAGAAACACGTGGAGTTAGTGCCGTACCTCACTATTAACCCCAATGTATCTTACCTACTTTGATAACCTTTTCCATGATAATTGTCCTTTACCCTGATAATCCAGCATGTGCTTTCACTCTATTGGATTTTTGTGTTTTTACATAAATTTGTACAAAGTTATATTTTAACTGCAAAGTTACATCTGAATGGTACATCATTGTGGCACCAGAAAAATCCTAGTTGTAGATAGTCTATACCTATTAACATTCAATCTTGGATGTTACCCAAATGTACACTTGAATTTGCTCATTCCATAGGGCACTGTGAAGTCTATGGGTTTTTATACTCACTTGCCACCAATAAACAATGACCTGGTTGTCTTGAGACTAAACATTTGTAAACATATAGACATTTTGTTTCAGTTGCCTTAGGGATCTGATAGGTCTGCAAGTCAAAGACAGCATATAGCATCATAAAATGCATTACTGTATTTAGATTTATAATTAATGTGAAAGAAATGTCATTGTACTCAATACTGGAAGTTATTTGGGTACTTTCATTATTGACCTCTATTTACAGTAACGTTCTCTTGAGAAAAGTTGGATTTGTATGATATAATTTGTGGCTTTTAAAGGGTACATTTAAAAAAAAATATTTATTTATAATTGCCGTAACAAAAGTACAGAAAGAAAACAACAAGCGCAAATGGAGATATAAGTCCGTAAAAAACAAGGTCATCGTCACAAGATATTGGTTGTGTAGAAATAAACAGAAACAAGAACATAAATTCCTGACGTTATCACGAAAAAATGGGCAATAAGAAGAGAGCATAAAGCACACGAGAAAACGACATAATAAACTGTGCTTCGTTTGCTC